AGGGAGAGAGAGGAAGGGAGAGAGAGAGAGAGAGGGAGAGAGATGCGCTCTTCCTCAATGCTGCATTTGGAGGTACTTTTAATAGGACCTTTGGGGTTAGGGAAGTCAGTATGCAAACAATTATTGATGCTAATATCAAGTTGATGAGTATTAGACTGAGACTTGATCTGTGGTAGTAGCTGTTATGATAGCTGGTGACCAGAAAGCAGACACAGAATTCCAGAGACTCTTATCCTGGTCCTTGCTCATATATATGGCTTCGTATGTAGATCACATGCAGGTGGAATGGTTCTCTCATGACCCTCAAAGAACTTGAGCTTTTTTTTTTTTTTTTAGAGAGCCCAACTGCTGGACGGAAGTTCATGTCCTCAGGGTGGCCCCATTCTTTACATTCCTTCAGTGAACCTCAGTGCCCCTCAGTGGAGTTACACCAAAATATAAGCATCTTCTCATTTGCCCTCTAGAGGAGAAATTCTTTTCCCACAGTTTTGCTTCTTGAGCTAAGCATTATTTTATTTCTGAAATGCTCATGATAAAAATAATGAAGCAGCACTTACCAGTTCCTCATGGGTTTTGGTTTTGCTTCTACTATAGGAGTATGGAAACACTATCTTCTGGGAGTATGAATGCATAGTGATGTAAGCCTTAATGTGGTCGATATTTCTTCTCAGAAAATTAGCCACTGCCTTCACTTCTGGTTCTGACTCAGGGTAAAGTCCACAGTAGATTTCTGAGCATGAGAAACTTGATGCACCTCTCTCTGTGGTGAAATTGATAGAGTGGAATTATGAGGGGATATACAGACTGTTGCAATTTGTGATTTCCTTTACAATGTATTCTCCTAATATCTATGGTATACATTTTTAAATAATGGCTAGATAGAGCTCTGTCAAGAGCATATTTCTGATGTCTTATTAAATGTTGTTCATGTTTCTTTGAAATCAAATATTGATATGCCCTCATAGCGCACACTCTAACATTTGCTGCCTAGGGGCCGCCATCTTGTAACCTTGAGAAAGTGGCTAAGGGAGTCTCAGAAATGCTAGCCCTGCTTCCAAACCTCTGGTTATGTTAAAAAAATAAACCCCATTTTCTTTAATCAATTATAAGTTTGGTTTTTCTCATATATGTAGTTTAAAAATTATTAATCAATATAGCCCATAAAAGAAAAGTATCATTTGGGAACTCAGAATCTACAAGCCTGCTTTCAGTGTTACATCTAACTTGCTAAAGTAGTTAAGTAAATAAAATGGGATGGGGATATTTAGTGTTAGGATAATGTTTATTCATTCCTTTGAAATATTATAGTTTATATTATTTTGATTGGTAGCCTGCCTCCCAATACTTGTCCTTTCTGTCGCCAATTCAAAGGGTGGAGCCCCAGAGAGCCACCTCTGACCAAAAAAATTATTCCCTCCTGGAAACAGTTGATTAGCTTTGAATTGGGTCCTTAACTTGTGTTCTGCCAGCCTGACTCCATCCACTGATAACTTGAAATCAGGATGAAGATTCTCATCTCAGTCCAGCTGCTCTCTTGAACAAAGACGATAATAACAACAGCACCACCAGCTGACACCCACAGGGCACATTCTATATATATCAGGAACTCTGCTGGGATTTACACACAGTATCTCATCTAATCCTCACAGCAACCCTATGAAGTAAACACTTATTTTAGGAGATGCAAATTGGACACTCGTGGTGGTGACCATCCTTTACAATAACAGGCTATGTAGCATTTTGTCAATCACCCAACCACTTGATGTGAATCTTGGCTTTGCCATTTAATAGCTATATGGCCTTGAGTAAATTTTTTTCAGCCTATCCATACCTTGATTTCCTTATCTGCTAAATGGAAACAATTATACATTAAATGAGGATTTAATGAGGATTCAACGAGCTAATGCATATAAAGTGCTTTGCACAGTGCCTGACATATACTAAGAGTTCATCATTTGTTGTTTCTCGTCAGTGTCGTCATCACCATTATCATGTGGGTTGGGACCCAAGAAAGCCAGTGTGCATCACAGAGAGAAGATAGGGAGGGAAAGGACTTGCTGAGCCCCCTACCTGTCCTTAGGTTCCTTGGGCCACTCCATTATTCTT